CAATGATTGTACCTTGCTATGTGTTTTTCAGTTTGAGAAATATGGGACAAGTATCTATAGCTTAAGAAATTCACATAAATATGAATATTACCACATATCCAACTGAGACTGCTAATTTTTGACAGGACCTACCTTGAACAATGACAACATGTCTGTCTGATCTGGAAAATACATTACAGTAGCAATATTCTGGGTAGTATTGAACTGACAGAATAATGATTAAATTAACGTATTATAAATAATCATAAAAACAGCTGGTTATCAGTGCGAGAAACACACTCTTCACAGATTCTCTTGACAACTATATCCTGATATTTTTCTAAAGGAGAGTTTCCATCACTTCTCACAGTGTGGAGTTTTCTTTCTTTCCTTTTTTAAAGTGTAGGCAGATCATATAAAAATGTGCAGTCTAAACATAAGAACATAAGATGTGTTTTTATTGTCTGCTTGCTTTCTCTTTGTTTTAAAAAAGTCATTTGGTAAACAAAACACTTTGGGGATAAACCACAGGCTGCATTCCCCTATTTTCTATTATGGGATTTCATTACTTTTGTGCAAAGCATGTCTCATCCTCACATTCACCACTAACACTGTGTAAGTGTACTTGCACTTGCATGTTTAAACAGGTAGATCTCTCATGAGTATGAGCTCACATCTGCAGTTACACTGAAACTTTCACTTCCTCCTGGGGAAGCACAAATACATGAGTTTGGTGCGTGGCCCATGTTAACACAAAAATGATGAATTATAACTAAGGAATGGTAATTTTTGTGTACTTGTTAGCTGTGGGAAGGTTTTATATTTTACTTAATATGTCCTTGTTGGTTAAATGAAATAAAAAAAATAAAAAAACTTGTCAGGATTCTTTTGTCACTTTCTGATGTTTTATTAATTAATTAATTAAATAGGTTTTGTTTAAAAGCTGTGACAAAGCTTCTTCAGTTCTAAGCACAACTGGTGGAGAGTCTCAGATTTTAAGTCCTATTGGGAGTGTCCCTAAGAGGGTCATTGAACCCCTATTGATCCTCTACCAAATCACACGAGCCAAGGTGTGAAAACAGGTGTCGGTCACAAAGGTTTCGGGTGAACTGTTGATTTTTGGGTGAAAATCTGGGACTGTCCACCAAACATGCTTAGAACTGAAGAAGCTTGGATGACAGGTGAATTGTCTTTAAGAAACCTAAAGAAATCCAGATGCTTTTCTTTCCAAGCTCCTTAGATAGTGATTCACTGGATGACTGAGAAACTTCACAGACTTAAAACTCAAGGTTTGCAACACTACATGCACCACGTGAAAGGATGAAGCTCTATAGCATGGTTAGATACGCCCCCGCCCCAAACAAAAAAACAAAAAACAAAAAAAACAAAAAAACAAAAATATTCAAAATAATGCACATTTGGTCAAAAAAATGTCACAATGTTCCCTGGTCACATTTTGACATTTCCATAATTTTCTGATCTTGAGAGGTTTAGTCTGAAAATAATATTTTCAAATTTTGAGTTAAAATAAGAAAGAAATGGTCTGCAAATCCTTTATTAGGCCCAATACAGAGGAAAATTAAAAACAGCAGAATTCACCTTCATGGAGTGTTCTACACACTCATTTTACCAAATAATCCAGGAGAACCCCAGCACTAAATGCCTGTTCACTTTAACCTGTAACTATCATTTACTATTCACATGGTATACATTTGTCATTTAGTTGAAAGTAACAAAAATAAATCCTTCATATTTTCAAAGTTATACTGTAAAGACATCATGATAGAACAAAATACTCAGGTTAATATATTTTTAAAAATCTATAAATGCATAAAATTGTTGTGAAGAAATGCATTTGTTCATACATTGTCATTTTTTAAATAATTTAAAAAGACTTTCAACACATAGTAGCTCTTGTTGCCTATATAGGAAGCTATCTTATGTAATGCTGCAAAAGCTAACTTTAAATGATGTTTTTTGTTATTACGTAAAAGCAGAGAACATAAATACCAAATAAAAACTCACCACCAAAACACAAAATACTAAACAAGCTACAGACATTTCTGTAGCAGAAAAGCATTGTGGCTTCATAAAAACGCTTGCGTTTTTGGTTTTGCTCCTACAATTTGACTCAATGACCTGTAAAACAGCCACACAAAAGACACAGATTTTCAGTTAGAAACAGTACTATGAGCTAAAGAATAGGAATAAGTCACCACATTAAATGTTCATGTTAGCATAATTACCAAAGGCACTTCCTACTTTGACTGCTTGATCAGTTCTTCTCCATCAGAACTTGATTTTACTGTGACTGAATAGAAAATTATTTTAAAGGCTTAGCTGTAAAAATTAATTTACGTAACTGAATTGAGGTAGTTACTTTATTGATACAAATACAAGTATGAAATATTAGTGATATAAAGTAAAAGTGCATACAAGAATAGGTAAAAAACAAAATTAGTAATAAGCGAATTTACATTTTATTATACTGACATTTAAAGCTCACCACTGGAGATGATGGGAGGCTTTACTTACCCTGGGTTTTCTTAACTTTTATTTTATTTTGACGGTTGACCTCAGCATACAGTGGACTGTCTTCTGAAAGAGATATGAGACCTCATGATTTTGTGCCACAGAATGATAGAATGATATACAGATGTTCGACTAATGGACAGTCTTATATATATAGACATAAATTTTAAACATTTCATAATGTTCTTTTTATTATTAATTCACACAGCTGCCTGTTTGTTTGTTTGTTTCTTTGAACCCATCTCTGTTGACTTTAAAAATAAACAATGAGTTGATTAACTATGAGACTGATGTTTCCTGATCCAGAACAAGTGATCAGAGTTAGTTCAATCAACTCTGAAAATGTTCACCCGGAGTTAAGCGGGTGCATGAGTAGAGAAAAAAGCCATCAGTGGAGCCCTGATACTAGAACTGATCATGGTGATGGTAAATAAAAAGTTGATCATCCATTTTAATCCAGAGCACAGAGAATCCTGAGAGTTTGGGGTCTTGTACAGTGTCGTTGCTGTTTCAAGGACTGCACTCTTCTGGACAGACATCTCAACTGTCTTTCCTGGGATCTGCTGAAGTCACTCACCCCATTTGGCGGGTCACTGCCATAAGTGCTCTGATTACTACTGTTGCTTTCACCCTCCACATCTTCTCAGGCTCCTCCCTCAGCCATTGGTATTTTTGAGCTTCTTGTGTTCCTCCTTCCTGATATTGCTATCATTTGGTATAGCTACATCTATTACTACAGCCTTCTTTCTCTGCTTGTCCACCGCTGCTATGTTTGGTTGATTAGCCATCATCACTTTGTCTGTCTGTACCTAGAAGTCCCACAGAATCTTATCTTGGTCAATACCATCCACCTTCGGGGCCATAACCCATATAAAGTTCAGGACTTCCAGCCCATTCTTGGCACAGATGTTCCTGTATACTATGCCAGCCAGTTGTATACGTTCCATGTATACCTTCAGGGGAAACTCTGCATAGCCTGCACACAGGGTCTAGCCTAGTGGGGTAGCCTCTATTAATCTTTGTTGAGCCACTGGTAGAATTTCTTGATCTCAGCCACTTCTTCTATTTGCCGGTGGTATATGCCATCCAGGGGCCTGTCTTTCCATGATGGATCCTCTTCTGTCTCATGTTTCTGGTGCCTGAGGTTTTCACGATTTCATGATTAGTTTATAACTCAGCAATTCTCTTCACCTGAATGTCCAGTATATACAGTTGCAGATTTAATAATATGACTACAAAGGCATTCATCAGTTCATCGTGTTCATTATAGACAATTTGTGCTTTCTACAGTCCAATAACAGCACAACACTTGGGCTCAGATCAGGCAGGCTCTTCTTCCCAATGACACCCCTGTAGGTCTCACTGTGGCTCATTTGGGTTCATATTTTAATCATTAATCATATAATCATATCATTAATCATATAAGTAATTATAATGGTAAATCAATGATATAAAATAACAATACAGTTGAAAATAAGTAAAAGTAAAATAAGTAAAACATATTCACATTGATAATCACTATAGTAAATTATTAAGCAAATCCCTGAAGATGATGGCAGGCTTTATTTACCCTGGGTTTTCTTAGCCTCTCCTTTATTGTGATGCTTGATCTCAGCATATGTTGGAATGTCATCTAAAATAAATATGAAATTGTGGATGAGGATACATTTATGGAACAAAGAAATAATATATTGTGGCTGAACAAATGGCCAGACCCCTTGGCATTTTAAAATAAATATTTAAGTGTATTAAATAATGATTAAAAGAAAAGAAAAACACATCATCCCATATTCAGTGGCTTATATATACACACAAACCACAAACACCGTTGTGGTTAAAGGTTTACATCGCAGTGGGTGTCATCATTAGTGGAAAGTTTGGGCATTTAATGATTTTCTCTGAAATTATTATTATTATTATTTTTGTCTCCCGAAGGGTGGAATCATTGTCCTCCAGTGCACATCTTTTCTGTCTATAAAAAAAACCAAAACAGGAATAGTGTATACATGTTTTTTGGAGGATTTTTTTTTCTTTCCAGCCTAAAGCATAATTTAGCATAATAACAGAACTGGTGTGCCATTCAAATAACTAGCTGTTTAAACTGATAATCCTGGAAAGTGCAGTTGTTTAAAACTGGCCCATTGAGCTTCTGGAATCAACTTTCCCAGGCCCTGGTGTCTATAAATTTGTGGACTATACTTAAAAGCTAGGTCTATGTCAAAAAAAAAAAAAAAAGCTTAAAAGAAAATGTCAAAGACATTCTGTTCTGCTAAGACAAGCAGTATAAACAGCCAGAAGCCTGTTGAAGGTTATCAAAAGTGTCTGTAAAATTCAAAATTGTGCACCAAATTCTTGTTTCAATTCTTGTTGTTGTTGTTTTCTTTTTTAAGTAATTACAGATGCATGCTGTACAATCACTTTATACATACAATAACCTGGGAAAAGAAAAGCTCAAAGAGATTGTTAAAAGCCCAAAATTACCATGATATTGATGTCCTTAGTGAGTATATGTAAACTTTTGATCATAATGGTATATATAGTTATATATTTTTATAAATACTTATATATTTATTACCGGGGCTGCTTTCCAATGCAATTTCGGAGTAAACTTCTTCAGTATTTGCCGCAGGATTTGAGTTTCCTGTGAATTCAAGAATCGTTATTGTTATTCAGTAAAGATATATAAAAAGGAAGGAGCTTTGTTTCTTTGTTGTCACAGTAATTCTTGGCAGTATATATTATACAGGACCATTGGAATGCCTGTTTATTTCTCCTTAAATGGTGTAACATTTGTAACAATGATGCATTTGTGAGTTGAGCAACAGAATTGAGTATGTGGGCTGCACCTACTTAAAAAAAAAAAAAAAAAACAAGAAAGGAAAAAAGCTTGCCAATCTTCTCTGCTAATGCCAAATAGCTTTTTTTTCTGCTATTGAGTGTTGTTTGGTGTCATTTATTGGAATGGATTATTGAAGTGTCAAGAAACCGTTGGCAGTTTAACAAGTTATTTATTTAATGACCAGGCACCTTGGTAGCATGTAGAAGAACCATACACATCCACAACAGCCTAGAACAGGGTCGGCAACCTGCAGCTCCGGAGCCACATGCGGCTCTTTCATCCTTATACTGCAGCTCCGTGTGGCTTGGGAAAATAAAGTATTTCACCAAAGTGTATTTTTTGTGTTAGTTCTTTTTTTAACTTGCAGTTCTAAATTGGAAGATTATTGTGATCTTGAAATATAAAAATGAAATTATATTTTATTATTTGTCTTTCCTCAAGAGAAGCGTCACACTCACAGAAGCCTGTACACCTGCCCTGGATTTATAGAAACTTTCAACCCCAGGTAGGCCAAGTATGGAGAAATGTAAGAAAAGAATAATATATGAAGAAAATTGAACATTTGACAATGCCTGGGCAGATGCATTTGCATTTGGCCTACCAGTATGCCTAATTTGTGGATTGTTGATCTACACATGTGAGCAGCTGTTCTCCACCATGAACTATGTTAAAAACAAACACCGCTCACGCCTCACAGATGACAGCTTACAGTCCTGCGTAAACATGAAAGTGACTTTGCACAGCCCTGATTTGCAGGCACTGTGCGCAGAGGTTCAGGAGCATAAGTCCATTTGTAAACATACCACGGCAGACCCGACAACTTTTTCTCAAACATGCTTTTCAGCATCGCTTTATTGACCACTTTTCACACACGGCTTTCCACCTCACAGACCGACACATACCAACAACAACACAATAGCAGAGAGAGCACAGAGTTTAAGCTGGCGAGGCGGATGCCGCTTAGGTGCATTCATCTCCCCTACACTGCAGACCACGCCCCGCCACACACATTAACTGGGTAAAATAATATTTATGCAGATATTTAGCAAATATTCATTTTTCATTGTTTAGTGAGATAGTGCTTTTTTCCAATTATGTTTTAAATTCAGCTCAAGGCTCCGCTACATGCTCCAAAAGCCCAAAGGCGATATAAGAATGACGGCTCACAATAGTTTTTGTTTGCTACATGGATAATTTAAGTTCAGCTTTTTAATTCATTTAAAAGAAACCTTCAACTCTGTGTGTTTCTTTTTTGTTATAATTTTTTTAAGAGTTTAAAATGTTCAAAATGTGTTCATTAAATAAATAAAATTTAACTTTCTCTGTAGCACTTCATGGATTTCATAAGCAACACACTCTATGTTTTGTATAAACAAGTATAAAGGTAAAAAAAAACAAACAAAAACGAATATATACAGTGTTATCTTCATTTTAGATATCAAAAAGTATTTGCGGCTCCCAGTGTTTTCTTTTCCGTGAAAACCGGGTCCAAATGGCTCTTTTGGTGTTAAAGGTTGCTGACCCCTGGCCTAGAACCTTCTCATCATTGTGATCACACACTAATGTGGAATGGCATTCCAGTTTTTTAACCAACATTTGTTGCAAATCAGCCAGTGTGGTTGTGGTTGTTACTCTGACAGCATGCTCAAGCTGATCTCACAAATGTCTAGTGAAGTTGATGTTAGTAGTGCTGGCAAGTCATTCCACCCAAATGCTAGAGGGCGCCACTGATAAACCCCACTCTGTGGGGGCAAGTGTTCTCATTGTGTGGAGGACATAATTGAGTTGCGTGGATAGTCCCAGTGGATAGCCACTGGTTGCAGATTCTAATCTTGATACAGCATCTCTCTGCATTGAGATTACCATTAATGATGACAAGCCTTGAGTTTCCAGTGAGGGAAAGTACCCTACACAATCACTCTGCCTCCACAAAAAGCTGTTACCCTATCAGTGGAGTAATTAGTATAGCATTCTCCACGTCTTCTCCACACTTTGACCTTACGAACTGCTGTAGGCAGAATCTGGACTCATCACTGAACATAACATTTCCACATCTCCACATGTTCAAGTTCATGTTCCAGTGCACATGTTTCCTGACACCAGCCCAAAAGGGCCTGATTGTGAAGGGTAGTCATAGTAAGCTTCTTAGAATCTCTATGAGACCTGAGATTGGCTGTGCGCAATCTCTTCTAGAGCCATTCGCTTTAAAATCCTGCAAACCCTAACTGCAAATCTGTAGGAGTTTCCTTAGTTTCCGACAGGGTGGGGAAACTGTCTTTTTGTGGCGTCATCTTCTTGGGATTATTTGGTGGACTGTCTCTGTGTGGTTAAGAGACTGAAATAATGTTATGCATCATTATTGTCTCATTTGCTTTGCCACAGATAGTTCTTTAAGTTCTTTAATGACTGACCCTTTGTCTCAGGTTTGATAACTAAAGGCTTCACCTAAAACCAGTGGATTATAATGAAATCTCTCATTATTCACTCTGAATTATTCTTCGACACTATAATAGGTCATCCAACTAATGAGGTTACTTCCGAAGGTAACATTGTAATGTTTATCCAAATGAATTGAGGTTTGCAAACGTGAAAAGGGTTGATTACATTTGCAAACAGCATATTACCATTAATATTAATTACAGGCAGTGTATGCATGGCATTATGATTGGGAGCTGAGACCCCTTAAAAGTCTCAACCTAGAACCGCCCCTGGTGGAACACCAGCTTGAAGTTGACCTATAGCACACGCCCTATCCATATCAGTCAAACGTAAAATACTCAGAGCAGACACCAAATAACCACTGTAGTAGTCTATGCTCACAGGTGCTACTAATCAGGCACCACTAAGGCACCTTGGGTGGTTTATCATGGGTACAGCCTCTTTTACCTCTGCTGCTCAAATCATATGCATTTTTCTTCCAAATGTGGCACCATTTAAGGGGAAATAACAGGCTTTCACCCTCTCCACTTTTAAGGTTCACCTTAAGACTTTCCTTTTTTGATAAAGCATATAGTTAGAGCTGGATCGGGCGACTCTGAATTATCATGCCATTATCTTAGGTTGCTGGGGGTTTTCCATGATGCACTGAGCACTTCTACTTCTCTCACTCCTTTTCACGCATGAAGTGTTTATATAGCAGTTAATTTAAATTTTTGCCTCTCCTTCCACAGGGTGTCTTTTTCTTGTCTTCCTCCCCTTACCCTCAAGTGTTTGCGGCAGACAGCCACCTAACTCTGAGCTCAGTTCCCCCAGAAGTTTCTTTTTGTTAAAATGGAGATTTTCATTTACATTACCATTATTGCCTGATCATAGAGGTTCAATTTAAGTGCCTTCAGGTGACTGTTGTTGCTATATAAATAAAACTGAACTGAATTAAATTTAACAGATTTATTGCATTTTTACAACAAAGACATTATTGACCAAATACATTTTTTTTTATTTTTGTGATAAGTTTTGGTGTCTTATCTTACGTATATCTTATATAGCATACAGCTAGGGTTTCAAACATACAGCCCACGGGCCACATTGAGTCTACAATAATTTCATATGTCAGTTATGGACTGTAGGTATGTGGAAGCCGAATCTTCAGGCACATTATACTGATAATCACATGCAAAGACAGACTGGGATCATACCATTACGTGAAACAACAAAAGGGCAGACGCTCCAAAGACAGCAAGTGTAGTGGTACAGGTCGGTACACAGAGAGACGATTTAAATGCAAGCGTGTCGGGAAAAAGTGAAGAAACAAGTAAAACGTGAAAAGAGCAACATCTGGCTACAAAACTGAGTGCAGAATTTATAAAATTAGAAGCTGGCTACAGTGAAACCCATTTTTATTTTTAGCGATTTCCCATTGTGGAGCAGAAAAGGTTTCAAACGTGTCCAGCCCTTAAACCTCATGTGTGTTCTCCCTAATAGTAGTAGCCATGACTTGGTGTGTGAGTGTCTGAATGAGTCTCACAGGCCTGAATGTGCGCTTGAAGCTATTTATAATCTTAATTTATTTGATCTGCTGCTCAACACAAACAAGCACAAGCACAAAATTTGAACTTTTATCTGTATTTTAACTGTTTTACAACTTTTTTTTACTGATAAAAAACTCCCTTATGGCCATTCATACTACACAAACAAGTACATTACACAAAAGTTTCTGTTTTTTAAATTTCTAGTGAAATTTCTTTGTTTGTGCTGACAGATTTCTTTCTTTGTCACAGCCGATTTTTCTTTATCATGTAGAAAAACAGTTGAATATGTAGTCTAAGGAGCTTGGAAAGTAAAGCGTCTGGACTTCTTTAAGTTGCTTTAAGATGTTCACATCTCATCCGAGAAGCTTCTTATGTTCTAGGGTCAAATGGAGGAGAGTCCCAGATTTAAGGTCTGTGGGAGGGACAATGGACCTCCTAATGATCCTAATCACATGAGCCAAGGTGTGAAAACGGGTGTAGGTCACAATCAGCCAGGGTTTCCGGTGAGCTTATTGTGAAACCTAGCCCCACCCTATCATGTGCTTTCCTGAGGTCAGATGGCCCAGGATGTGAGTGGGCGTTAAGGCGTCTGGGAAGGGATCTCAAAACTGGATTATAGATGGCAGACAGTTGGTGT